TGGAGGGCTATCCAGTTAATCGCACTGGTGCTTTGACTATGCAGCTTATAAATAGTCCCATAAAGTTTAATCCCTTTAGCTAAGGCCTTCGACATGTAGACGTTTTTTGGTTCAATAATAAAAGCTTTTTTTAAATCGTTTAATGCATCTTCCAGTCGATTGGTTGAAACATATACAGAGGCTCGTTCAACAAGCAAAATTATTATGGCATCATCGTGCAGAATTGTTATTGCTTCGTCAAGATTTTTCAGTGATTTTTCATATTCCCCCAGTTTATGATAAATCATTCCTCTAAAAAGGAAGGTCCTGCTTCTTATCATTCGTTGATTGAGAATGGAATATTCGGAATAAAAACCCTCGGATGTGTCTAAATCTCGAACAGCCAAATCATAATTACCCATCTTATAGTATATATAAGCACGATTCTGATATCTGTATGCATTTGGTTTAATTTCGATTGCCGCATTGATATCCTTCATTGCCATTTCGAAGTTACGAAGGCGAGCATATAAACTTCCACGGTGGCTCAATGCTAAATCATTTTTTGGATCAATATCCAGCACTACTCGAAAGTCCTCAAAAGCATTCTCTTCCTCGTTTTGTAAAAAACTATAGATCACGCCGCGTTGAATAAGTGCTTCAACATAATACATGTCTCCATCTTCTATCTCCTTTTTGTAAAAATCAATGATATCACTCAGCAAATCAATTGCTTTCCAATATTGATATGTATCACTGTAAATATCTATCATTTGATAAATGTGTTCTATTTCATGATTCTCGATGGTATCTGCTGCATATATGTAATCGAGAGCAGCTTCAAACTGTTCCATTTCTTGTAAAATCATACTTCGGAAACGATACGAGTATCCTTTTCTTGGATTGAGTTTTAGCGCATAGTCCGAGTCTTCAATTGCCTGATCAAAATCACCTATGCTTTTCCTTGCCAATGCTCGAAGATTATATGCATATTCATTTTTAGGATCGAGAGCTATGGCGCGGTTATAATTAGAGATGGCGGCACGATATTGATTTATTTTATAAAAAATCCGCCCGCGTAATATTATTCCTTCAAAATTATCACTGTCCCATTGCAAAAGTATGTCCAAATCTTTCTTGGCCAAATTATATTCAGATTGTTCAAAGTATAGTTGACTGCGTTCCATCAAAGTGTTTGTGATAATTGTCCTGTTTTTTGGTTGGAAAAGCCTTGCATTCTTGGGACGAATCATTTCGATAACGGCTGGAAATGATGAATTCAATTGAGTTGAGATATTTAATTTAGACGTAAATTCTAAAATCACATTAAAATCACGAAATGCATGTTCATATTGTCGTAACTTTATATAAATGGTGCCACGTATTAATAAGAA